AGTAGTAGTAGTAGTAGTAGTAGTAGTAGTAAAAAGTCGTTTTTACAATCTGTCAAACTCTAGTAGTAGTAGTAGAGAAAAGTCGTTCTTACAATCTGTCAAACTAGTAGTAGTAGAAAAAAGTCGTTCTCAAAATCTCTCAAACTCTAGGAGTAGTAGTAGTAAAAAGTCGTTCTTACAATCTGTCAAACTCTACTTGTAGTAGTAGTAAAAGAATCTGTCTCTTTTTTGAAGTAGTAGTGGAAAGAAATTTGTTCTGAAACTGTCAAAGTGTGGTTGTAGTAATAGTGTAAGTGAAGAGTCGTTTTTCATACTGGTTACATATAGTAGTGCAAGTAAAAGATCCGTTTAAAATCTGTCAAAGTATTGCAGAGGTGCTGCAATTTAAATGTATTTGCTGTTGTTAAAGTCCTGTTCTAGTCCTTGTAAAATCCAAAGCTAAAGGTCACTTTATTCAAATTTCATTAAAGGAAAGAGAATTGTATTGTAAATGTAGTGGTAATAAAAAATACGATTGAAGTCGAAGTCCTAACTCAAAAGGTCATTCATATATTTTTATTTGTGACTGTCTACAATCTTGAATTTTTCTCCTTGCAGGGTTCACACCTAAAAGAGATCAAAAACAGCTTTTCAAGATTACGGTTATAACTTGCATACAGAGTTTAAACTACAAATCCTTCCTTATGAAAATATGATTTGAAAACGCAAATTTAATGGTGTATGTTAATTCTGGTTCCCATGTATAGCCCTTTGAATTAAATGTATTGGATCAATTGCTTAGTTTAAGTTTTTATCTTGATTGAGAGGAAATATTTGGGTAAGAAAAGCTTACCTTATGGTCAAATAAACGTTACTAGTAGAGGAGAGAGCAGAATGATTATAAACGGTAGTTAAAAATGTTTTGCACAAAGGTAGAGAAAAATATCAAGCTCATATTAATAATTTCCACAAGGGTGACACATGTTTTAAAGGAACCTATTGTTTCAACTTACAATAGGTGCGAACCTACTTCTAGTGAAATTTTGCCATATTTTCTTACCAAAAGCTTCTGTGGTCTAGCGGTAGTGCGCATTTATCAATTCAAATTAAACGACGGCTGGATCCCCCAGCCGTCGTTTAATTTAATTGTTAAAGCACATTGGAGGGGTTCCGGCCCCGTTCATCACTGTTCTTTTTCTTTTTAATCTTTAAAGAAGCAGATCTTAATTTTAAGATCTCCTAGAACTGTTTCCGGGAATTTCTTTTTCTCGGAAAAAAAATTCCCAGAAAGAAAATTCTTGGTCATCCTAAAATTTAATATTATGCTTTAAAGAGTGAACTTATAGGCCACAAAAAATAACAGTGGGGTACCACGGCCGTTGTGCTAAACGGCAAAGTCTTGCACAAAGCCACAAGAACACAGGGGTATACAACTACCAAACGTATCTACAAAACTCATTACAATATCTGGAGAACTAGAGGATCTTTGCTTTATATCTGGTTAAAATTGGTAAATGAGTGCTATCCTAAACAAATTTATGTTGGGGTTTCCCTTGCGAAATATTGAGGAAAAACAAGCGGCTCTGCAAAATACGAAACGTAAAAAAATTTCCATTATCCTTGAAAATATAAAATAACCTGTAACCCCAAGAGATTTTGATAGTTAAAGGAAAATAAAAAGAGATGCTTGCAAAACGAAATTCAGAAAGCCAAATATTTCTTCGCCTTACTAAATACACTCAAAACCTTTGCTCCGTGATTTTCGTTTTATTATTGCATTTATTAAAATAGTAGTCACTTTACGACGAAATCTCATCCTCAAAAATCAAAACTAGCTCAGCCTCGGTCTTACAAGATTTTTTTTCGTTAACTCTTTATCGTTTGTACCTTTCTATTTATTAATAGGTCGTTTTACTTTCTATCAGCAAAATAGCATTTATGTTAAAGTATGATGTAGTTAAGTCGCACTTTAACAATGGAAAGTATTTCACTTCGATCAAAGGCAGGCACACTTCTGATTAACCTTAACCAAATTGTTCATTCTTGAGTAACTTGCTCCTTCACAAAATGTTCAACTAAAACACGATAAAAAAAACTCTTATTTGACAAATTATGATCGAGTGGTAAGCTATTTATGTTCGTGAGATCCACTTTTACTAAAATCTTAGCAATTCCCGATTAAGCTGAAAAACAGTCACATAATACATAAACCTGAGAAGTCCAGTTCATACGACATATGTACTCAGAAACCTTCTGGTTGATTAAAAACAGCATGCCATTATCAAACCTTTTGTTGACATTTTGAACGGACAGTCACAAGAAACGAAATCAAATAGCTATTACACGCAACCACTGCTTCGTGTATTTATGAAAAACTGATGAAATTATTAAGGTGTAAGATTTTTCGAGACACAAAATAAATAAAATTATGAATCATTCTACTCTGTTTTAGCATGCTTCGCTAGATAATTGTGGTTAATATTTCCGAACGCTTAATGGATTAGCTATTGAAAAATATCTGTAAACTTTCCAAATTATTTGGTAATTAAAAAAAATCATTTTGTTCGTATATAAATGCAGAAAAACATGATATATCCAACGAATTACTTTTTCTCACTAATTGCAACAACAGCTTTTCTTATGAGGTTTTTGGTTCGTCCTAAATAAGGTTCTGTAATGTTAAACACACCACTTGAAATAGAAGTTACACTGGAATAAAATTCATCCTTAAGAAACTGAATCACACCAAATTCATCTCAAAAATCTCTGTATAGTTCAAAATAAATTTCTCGTCACAGCTTTATCATTTCCTTTCAAAAAGACTATTTAAAAGAAATAGCCTTAACGAGTTCCGCCTTCAGTAAGGATTAATTTACATCGAAAAACTCCTAACTGCTTAAAAAAAAGATTGTTTCAGTTGAAGAGTTTTTTGGTTCTCCAAAAAACTTTTTTGATCGGAAATAGTATACTTGTAATAATTTTTATTTACCGTTCATTTTTAGTAGGAAAATATCATTCAGTCTCACAAAAAATACCGTTTGAGTTGGATGGAAAAGTATCTTTGTTTTTAACGCAGAAACTTCTTCGCCTTATTAAAACCCCCTAACTTTTGTTCCCTTTTTTCCGTCTGCTCGAGAGATTCTCTATAATGGATAAGTTATGAAAAAAAATTAACAATCTTGGAGCATCACTTCATGATTGAAATTGTTTTGTGGGAGTTTTCGTTTACTGTCAACGTGTCTTTGTTAAAGTTACAAAGTAGTACTCATTTTTCATGCTGAGGTAATAAAAGGAAATCTCCCTCACGATAGAAACCTGTTTTTTCTATATTGATTAGGAATACATCTACCTTTCTCGGGAAAGTATTTCTCTTATAAAAAAAGCCACAACGTCCACCCCTCCCCCCGCGAAAAATTCAAGACTTTTTATGATCAAATCACTTCTTTTTCAAAACTTTTCGTCCAACAATTCAACGACATTCGATGAAAACTTGATTTCATCTGTGAAATGTAAAAGAGCTTATGACGAATCCTTGACTTCCGTTGTAGTTTTTATTGTTAGTTATTTTTATTTATTTTATTTTCGAAGTTAGCTCGTAAAGCTAAAAGTAGGGAATATTTTAGACCCTTTCTCGGAAGAGAGTAGTTATAAAACAGCTACCCTTGACGCTAAATTGAGAGATTTTTGGGACATGTTTGTATTTTATAGCGAATTTTTTTTTTGAGACTCTCGAAAAGAAAAAAAAAGGATGGGAAATTCATTTCTCCAAATGCAACAGCTATTCAACAAAATTCTAAATTCCATTTCCTCACTAAAGGTATTCACATTCCCTACTCCGAGGTTTCAAGACTAGTTTAAAACTTTATGGGCGATGTATCCATACCTTGAAAAAAAAAAAAAGGCCAAAAACAGAAGCCTCAAAGCGAAGCTGAAAATTTTAAGAGATTGCAATTCGTCCAATTAGTCTCAAAAAAACTAATTATGGTTCAACAGTAAATTTTTGTTCGATGTTGTAAAATATTCCGGACAATCCTTGTAAAAGGTTGGGGAAATAAATTGTGAGTTCAAACGGTATTAAGTCATATTCAATGATTGATTGGTTGGAAATGATGTATGAACATACTTCACCTGCAAATTACGTTTTCATTTGGTTCTAACACATATTTGATTTACATCTGCGCGATTTTAAGCTTAAACTTAAATTTTTATTGTAACGTAAATGCTGTCTTCGATTCCGTTTGAAAAAGATCCCTTCCGAATAAGAAATCCGTATCTAGTTTTGCAACATTGGCCACCGTCATTTTTAAAAGTATTTCTATATTGCTTCAGCAATGCAATATATTTGTTTGAAAAGTTTTCTTCCCAACGTAATTTACAACTCCTGATTTTGCAGTCTTGAAAGTGTCTGGAAAAATCCTTAATTTTCCTGGGGTTCAGCAAAATGAGGCAAAAAGGCAAATAGAACAGGAAATTCAATAGTGGTAGCATTTGTTGAAAATTTTGACAGAGTTCTCCAGGATATATTGTAATGGGTTTCTTTAATTTACAGGGAAAACAACAAATTGAATAACTCACATTCAGCTGAGTTCTTTATACTTTATTAGGTTCCATTCCCAGTTTCCAGTCCTCTTTCCTAGTAACAGTTTTCATTCCCGTCTCTCCATCCTGCAAATCTAATAGATATACTAATAATTGACACGACAAAACAGATATACAAACAACTAAGTAAATAAATAAAAACAGGGAAAAAAAGTACCGTAAACTGTTTTGTAATGTATTTTTTGTGTGATAAGCAGTTTGGTATGTTGCAAATTTGTACCACTGGTCTTTAATTGCTAGATTCTCAATACTCATGATTGTATTTGACGTCTGCTAAAAGGATAATTCGACAGGTCATCTTTAAAAATAGCTCCGTGTTTTCTAGAGTGACTTGATGGACACGTTGGAGATCCACAGCAAAACTCAGCGGGCTAATAAACGAACCTTCTTAATTTAATAACTATTACAATTTCCTCAAATGCGATTGGTGCATCAGCTGCTTTATATTTCACTAATCACTCTGTGCAGTTGTAATCGTACAATTGCCTGTTATCGGACACCTGTAATCGGACAGTTTAAGCAGACAATCATACTAAGTCCACTCAGCTAAATCCACCAATCACAGAATTGATCATAATAACCATAGCAACCACCTGAAAAAAAAACTGGGAAACTTCCAAATTTTTTAATTCAGACATTGTCGCTGTGATTAATTGGTAACAGGACTTCGCGAGTTGCTTTGTATCACTAATAAAATAACACAATGAAGAACTTACGTTTAGCTTTGGTCTTTTACATCACTCTGCTCTCCTCATTCCAGCTTTCTAATTCTCTTTTTCAACCTCAGTTTTCATTTCCTTCTCATGATTCTGCAAATCCAATAAAGACATTGATTGGTAACCTGTCACACGTTCTAGGAATGGCCTCGAGGGAAAGGAATATTAGAAAATGTAAAATGGTCTTTCTTATGTTTCTTTCTCAAAAAGGCATTTTCACATTATGCATTCCTCGAAAAATTTTATTACCCTTCCCGGTCTTTTTTTCTCCTATTTTCCTCATGTTTGCTCACCGAAAGCAGTCAAAATGGATATTACAAGGGCACCTCACTTTTCCAGAATTTCACGGTGTATTTTCAGCATTTAAAGTCAGTGTAACTGGTCTAGCCGTATTGGTAGTTTAAACGTAATTAGGCATCTGTAACGATAGTTAGCTGATAGCCCAATAAAATGTACAGAGACCACGCTTAAACGTACCTTAAACAATACTCTCTCGGTGCAATCCGTAAATTCTACCCCTGAAACCACTCACCCCTAATAAATTTAAAAAAAGGAAAGAAAAAAAAAGCAAAGAAAATGAGCGTAAATGATTTTCCACGTACACAAAGAAGTTTTGGTGCATTGCCACGCTGCACAAGATGTATTTATTACGTCATATTCAATATTGAAACTGAGAGATGACAGACGCTCAATCTCAACCAAAATCTTTCAATAAAACTCCAGCGGTCCAGGGACTGACTTTTAAGGTAACTAGATAAGCCCAGAGCGCAAGGCACAAGGTACATGAATTGCTGCGAACGAGAGGACAAACACAACTTAAAGACGAGACTAATGAAGAAGCTCTGATAACTTACAAAAGATTTTGACAGAACTGAGACGAAGTTATTAGTAAAGTCAAAGTATATGAATTTAAAGCAACGCCTAGGCAAATAACCTATGAAAATGCTGCAAATTATTTCTGAAGGAGACAGGTTTTAACTAGTCCTTCAAAGTACAGAATTCTGTACAATATCTCACCTCATGTGAAATTTCTTTTAGTCTGCAAGAGCACAACAGTATCTCCATATTTGGCCGTCTGAACCAGGAAAAAGGACATTGTCGTCTTAAAATACTTTTAGAAGTAATTAAGAGCGCAGAAACCGGCAGAATACGTCGAGTTTCTGTTCGAAGAAACAAGACGCTGTAACTCAAGGAACCACATGTCACACTGACACAAGGTGTGAGACAAATATGAATGAATAATTAATTTTTGAGGCAATTTTTATAATCAGGACCCGGACTAGCGGGGGGGGGGGGGGGGGGGGCAGTTAGGTCTATGGGTCGTACTCAAGTTTGTATACAGTACTGCCAACTGGATATAGAAAATAGCTAATTTTTCAGGTTTTGTGACGATAGGTTGTTGAAGGAAAGGGTTGTAGCCTGCACTTCTACAAACACCACTTGTAAGTCGGCAGTGTTAGCTTTTTCCCCATTAAACGCCTTGGTATACAAACAGATTTCAAGCTAAAGGGAGAGAGGGGTCGAAGCAGCGATGTTTGGAGTGAAAGGGGACGAATTGTTCGAAAGAAGTAGGTAAGTAAATAAGTGACTTCAAACTTGGTCCCAGAACTGATGTTTATTGTTTTTATCCAAAATAAATCACGAGTAAACACCGTGAGAACTAATTAAAAACAAAAGGTGCGATTAATTCACAACAAGATTGAGTAAATAGCGAAGTACAATTACAGTTCAAGTGCATTAAAATTCTCACAAAAAAGGAAACTCAAAATTTATGAGATAAAGAAACCATAAACGATGTCATCTACAGCCTGTTTCTAAAAAACTTAGTCCTAGATTCACAACTTGTAAGCGATGAAATTTAAATTACAAAAATAATGTTACAAAGTGCGGGATCAAATGGGTCGATCCAGCGTAAAATTTTTATTTTTTATCTCAGAAAGTTTTGCCATTCCCGTCAAGTTAGCATTGAAAAATTTTAAGCGTGGGCTCCTTCCTCGATTTGTTACCTTTTAAATCACTCAAATTCTGGGAGAGTCTGCATAGGTACGTGACTAGTCGCGAACAGGGAGGAAGGAGATGACCCTAGGAACGAGGTTGGTAAACGTATTGAAGTTATGAAAGTTAACGACGTCTTCAACTTAACAAAGTCATAAAACTAGTGATGTCATAAATTTAACGACATCCTCAACAAACTTAACGACGTCACTAAGATTAACGACGTCCTAAACTTAAAGAAGTCGTCAGCTTAATGAAGTCATAATCTATGCGACTACTTGGACTTGATGACGTCACAAAAGAAAACGACAACCTTCATTCTTCTAAAGCTTTGAGTCAAACTTTGGCATTGAAGCATCATGGTTTTTTTAAAGCTGGACTGTACCCGCCGGAAAGGCCATTGGTGCAGGTAACAAAACTACGGCTCTTATTTATTTTCGTTCCTGAGACTCATTATTATATAATGTCGAAGTCCTCGATATCATGCTATTGTTTAAAAACTTTGTCGTTTGCGTTATAACATTTCATCATTCTATCAACCACAAATAAAATCGTTAAGAAGAAACAAGTTAAACAAGCGAGTACAACCCAAGAGTTGAAAGAGGCAGCCGCTTTCAGGTAATACATTTATAATCAGTATTTAAGTTACAAGGTGCCTTCTCCCTTACGTGAGGGAGCTATTATACTAACTGCCATAAAGTTTTCTACTTGCAGTTGCCGCTCTGTTTTCCTATAGCACCGTCAATCCACACCTTCAGCGAAGCATTCGCGTTCGTATTCAGTAACACATTGATATTCGTTACAACCTAAATGGGTAGAAAAAGGATTAAATTTAACTTATGCTCCCTCTTTGGGAAGTTTTCTCTTCACTCTTTACCGACCTTTACTCTTCGTTGAATGTGCATTCAGATGCTTTTCCTTTTCTGGCATTTCTGTCAAGTTCCTACGCACCGGTCATCGCTAAACAATCAGCTTAGTGTAATTTTACTAAAATTACTCTAAGTTACTAAATCACTAACAATTTGAAATTGTTAAGTTTAACGCGCGCGCTTTTCACGTTCAATGTTGCGCGAGCGCATGCAGTCATTTTTCCTTAACAGTTATTTCAATTGATAACCAGTTATTTGGTAAAGTTTTATCTGACCGTATGCCACAATGTACCTCAGTTACGGAGACAGTCAGAAAGTAAGTTCTCAGTTGGTTTCTGGGTTTTGTCAACGTTAGTTTTCTGTTTGTTTGAAATACTTGCAAGGCTAAGTGCCATCCTAGTTTCTTTGTATTTTAGATCAAATTGTATTGTTGTATTAAACACGATTCTTCTTCTGTGTTGGCGTCTTTGGTCTTTAGTTCAACGGAACACACCCCCTTTAACTAAAGACAACTTACACGATGAGATTATCCCTTCAAAGTTAAGCGATTTATTCATAAGCTGCAATTCTCAAATACCTTCATATTCCAAAGGATATTGCGAGAATGTGTAGCTGTGTTGATTTATTTGTAAATATGACGCCTCTTGTTCGCTCTGAAATGGAAAGAATTTTCACTGTAAATTCATTTGTAAATTGAGAGGGGCTGGCTGGAGAAAGCTGATCGTATCTTGTTGCCTTGTTCGTTTATTACAATGAAAAGCGAAAGGGGGAAGGTTTTATAATCTAAGTGAATTGAAATCATGGAAATACTTGACAATATGACTGGATCTTCCATCATTCCTTTTCTAGACACCAATAGAGATTTTACCAAAACCGGAAAGTGACAGCAACCATAATGCGGCAAAACAAAATGAGTGAAATAATAGCTTTGCTAGCGCGCTTCAAACTTTGGAGATTTTCTTGCTTTCCTCTGCAAAAAAGAAATGTGAGATCACCCAATCTTACGCAGACCGAGATCGAGAACTCCGATAGAAAATCATGAACGTTCCTATTTAGAACTATACGACGCTTTACATTTAAGACTAATGAATTGAAAGGTGAACTAACGCCTTTCAGACGGTAAAGACATCATACTACACGTAATTTCTCAAAACAAATAGGTGTTTTTTCTATGCGTTATGGCCATGAGTGCGTATGGACCCAATAAACGTCTCTTTCGTTTGCATCGACCAATAACATTTTTAAAATAAGCCGCATTATAAACGCGGTGGGTGGTGCCTCGCATGGGACGCCAGTCCCGTTCGCACCTGCCCTTTTGGGTTAGAATTATTTTTGTTCCTATCTTAATTTATTTTTGTCTCTATGTCTTTTGTAGTTAGTACTATGTTATAAACCCAATAAAGTTGATGAAAAAAAAAAGCAATTTGATTGGTTCTTACGTGTGATCTATTGGAAGGCCTCAACGAGGCGATGACTTTTACGGCTTGCGGTTAAAATTTTGGCCATTCATATCATTCCATTGCTGTCACCAGGAATTTTAATACAGTTAACTTTTTTACGACTGACGGTTAAACGTTTGGCCGTTTTACGGCTATTGGTTAATCCCATTGAAACCCTCCTATTGGAAGGACAGACGAATTGGTGGCGACGAGATTAAGAACGTTAACATTTGCTTCTTTATCATGTAAACAAAGATATTCCATATTTTTCCTTGCGTCTCTTCAAAAAAAGGCCATAGAAGCTGTCGAAATATGGTCATTTGTTTCTCAACCAGATCAAGAACTGGTTTATAATACACCTGGGAAAATAATCAGCTGATCTAGTTAAGGTAAGTATATCCAATACCGGACACACATGTAGGATTACAGTGGTTTGAAAAGCAAAAATCACTGAAGAACAAACAAACAATATCCAGTAGTAAAAAGGAAGCACTTATTTATCGTGTAAACAAAAATATTCCACATTTTTCCTTGCGTCTCTTCAATAAAATACCACAGAAGTCGTTAAAATGTGACAAGAACATCAAACTCGGCTGCACCTCGTGTGCCACTCTTCGACGTCATCCGTAATCTTTCCCTTAACACACCCCACATGACCACCAAGAATCTCTTTGTCAAGTAGTTAATACCTCTGGTATGGTGCTACCCCAAAAAGAAGGCTTAAGATAATGGAGCAAATTAAACTGGCAAATATTTCATCAATCATTTGTAAACAAAGCCTCTAGGGTTCGTTATGATCTATCCCTGATGACAGCATGACAGCTGGTAAGTTATCAGTCTTAATCCGCAATCTTGTTTGTAGGTAATCATTATAATCAGACCCCCGGGGAGAAGAAATAAAACACCAACGATTGTGAAATTGTTAGTAACAGTTTTGACCTTTAACTCTAAGATGGGATCAACAACTACCTCCCTCACTACTTTTCTCCTAGAAGAAGTTAGGGAGGATGTTATACAGAACTATGTTCTTCACACAGATTTATGCACAAATGTGTGTCCGCTAGAAGGGAGAATTGGTTCATAATTCAAGAAATGAACCATTACAGAGATCAGTGGTCATTGGCAGAGTTCGAACTACAACGGTCTGCCCACGAAAGGTTTTTTGTAATTACCGGGGTGCAGTGCTCACAGAAACAACCCATGTAAGATAGAATACCGTTGTTCCCGTTAATGAGATGCTTTGTAAAGTTAACACCCAATACTAATAAGTTTAGATATAAAATAATTCAAATTGGAATGCTATGACTGTTGCTAATATACAACGCAAACTTGCGTAAGTCTTTACTGGTTAAAAATGAGTTTTGCACTCCGAAGAATTATCCTAATGTGAAAACTGTTCACATTAGGATAATTCAAGTTCTGTTCGTGTGAAGAACACTGGCTTACTTAGTGACATGCTTTGATTCCAACTTTGTTAACTTAGTGTGAACACTTCACGCGGCATTTCGAGCACCTTTGCTTTCAGGTCGTGTAAATAAAGATCGTCAAGTGTCCCGTCAAGGGATTCTGAACAGTTAAAAACTGCTATGTGAAATTTTTGTCACGTATGTGGACGCACAAGTCAATTCCTTCACTAAGCTTGTTGCTGTAATTAACATTTTTATCATAATTGTCGGGTGCATTTGACATGGGAAAGTAGTCTTTTCTCAGCCGAATTGACAGAGTTAAAAAGGAAGCAGTCAGGCTCTTATCTCTTCCTCGTTCAATGCTAATTAAAAGTAGCAGATTGAATTATCCTGGTTAACACATAGCTCAGTGAAGGTGGTCCTTTCCTAACTAGATAGATGCGCGAACTTGCGGTGGACTTTGTCCTTTTGAGTTTTCCGGCGCCTTGCCTATGAGGGTCTTAGGGCCAGTTGAGACGTCGTGTTCCTGCCGTGTCGAACATAATACATGAATTCAGTTCAACAAGGGCACGGCAGAAGCACAGCGTCTGAATTTAACTTTTTAATTAAGTTTGGCAGGCTGTTCAGTTCGACAGGCTCTCCGATGCTACACGACGCTGCGAGACAGCGATTCAAACGTCATATCTCTGCCGACCCAAACAAAATTCATTAGTTACGTAGGAGTATTATGGCGCTCCCGCGGGGAGTTTCGAGAACAAGTTTAGCTTTCTAAACACATGCCTATGAAATTTTGCTGACCCTTTAGCGAGGCTTCTTACACTGTGCTTTAAAGAATCTCATCATAAACCTTTCTAAGAGGAACAGAAGCATAAGAGCAAATTAAAACTCGGTCTTAAGTTAAGGGCTTCCCCGAGAGAATTGCATGTTTCATATGTTCGAGAAATGATCCGGCCAGGTTGTGCGGCAAAACTTTTACAGCGCGCACAAATGGGTGTGGTTCGAAGAGGAAAGTTTCCTTATCGTTCTTACATGGTCGAATGTCGTATGGAAACTAACCCAACTGCTGCAACCGTTTTTATTACTTCGAAACCTCTACACGTTAATTAAAATTACCTGGGCATATCTACAGCTCGAACGTGGATGCTCCGTTGGTTCTTCTTTCAGCTGAGTCTGTAAGTTTCTCACCGTCTGTTTTAAAAACACTATGTATTCTGCCGCGTTCGTCAAAATTTCTATTTTTGTCCTCAAGTCGCTGTTGTCGGGAAGAAGTTCCTTCAAAACCGTAAAAGCGTTTCGCAGCACTTTCACGCGCCTCTGTTCTCTTTTGTTCTTTCTAACACGGCTTTGCTCCATGTTGTTGATCTCGTTTCGTGCCCCTTCTTGATACACGAGCACTGTTTACATTGATTTTCCTTAAGCCAGTGACAACCTCCAGATTTTAATCGCATTCTGTGCCAATACATGCCAACTAATGACTTGGGATAAAAATTTTCCCACGGCACACTAAATTTCACCTTGAATTTAAAAAAAAAACTGTATTGAATAAAATACAGAGAAGTAGTTTTAGCCTTCGATATTTTATTCTTGTGGAGGTATTAAAGCAATAGGAAGCGGTCAAAAGGGATAACTCTCAGTGCTCTTAAAAAGAGGAAACAATAGTGAGATAATTCTTTGCTGATCCTGTCTTTGAAAGGATCACTGCCGTTTATCACTGCAAATAGTTCGCTTATTGTCGTTTTACGACGACTGAAGACGATGTAACTTTAGTTACCTCAGCGTGACAGAGTTTTTACAGAACAATAATTTAGTTGAAAGTTTTACATTTTACGATTGTGTGAGGTTACACAATTTCAGTAGCTGACTATCTTTCTTTCAGTCAATCTACTTAGTGATCCTTTAGGTTTGTATCCGCTGTAGTATATTAAAATTATCTAATGTAGCACGACTGATTAGTCTTCGAAAAACAAATTTGTTTTTCTGTAAAGTAAGCGGTTGATAACTATTTTGGAAAACAGATATTTAGAGAACAAGGATTCACGACAACTCATGTACAGTGAACTTCGCAAAATAAAAAACCTGTCTTAGCACACAGTTAGCAAAGGGGAGTCAGTGATCATGAAGCGAGTCCTGTGTTCTCCTTGGCTACACGAGTATGGGAGATAGGCATACACCTCTTGTACTCCCAGAGGAAACAAAGAGAAAAAGAAAAAATTACTTCGGGTCAGATTGTTATGGCCGACTGTCGTATTTGGTATTGTAAAGTTATCTTTCATAGTCGAGTTGAGAGTTACAGAGAGGGAAGAAATCAGGCAATCTTATCTCTTCTTCAATTAGTGTTAATCAAAAGTAACAGCTTGGATTATCCTAACTGACAAATAGCACAAAAATGTGACCCTTTTCCTAACCAGACAGATGCGTGAACTTGCGGTGGACTTCGTTCTTTTAAGTTTCTCGGCGTTCAGCCTGTGAGAATCTTATAAGCTCGCTTTTTCTCTACATGTGTCTATGCAAAAGCACTAGCATTCTTTGTCCAATATTATTTGATCAATATGGATGGGTACTTTCGTGTCATCTCGGTGGACTTGATCTTGATACAGGAAACACAAGGAAAAAAAACTCCATCATACAGCCATGTTGAGCTCAAGCATTCTCAACAACGTGGATCGATTGATCCTTTGACCCCAAAGAGTGACTGCTGAGCTTCTAATTTCTCCTTACAAATAACCCTTGAAACAAACATTGAGGTCACGAGAATAGCGAAAATGATCACCAACTAAAAAAGCCCTTGATAGTTAAACAAATTCTCCTTATCAGCACCTTAGGAAATGTATAGAGAACAGTGTGGAGAATATGCATACCGATCTTAGGGTGTAGAGGGTTGAGGCGACCATTCGCGCGAGACAGAGATCAACACTGACAAAGTTCAGCTCTGTTTACATCCGCAGAAATATCTACCATAGAAGAGCATAAAAATTCAGCAGTACACTTTATTTTATATTTGCACTGAAATATGTTGTCGCCTACCAAAAGTTTTCTTATTGGATAGAAGCATCAACCTACAGAAGATTCCAAAGTCTTTGAAAATAACTAAAATAAAACGTTTTTTTTTAAGATTTCCTTTATTGACATGTATCTTTGTAAACTAAGTGACTCGAGAACACGTGTTATTTTTTCTTCTGAAAAATTCATTCTTAACGCAGCACCACAGTTTCTTTAGAAACTTACCCCCTGGATTTTAATAAAACATACCCCCTTAGTCCCTTGAGCTGAAAAAGCATCCTAAATTTTTTTTGGGGAAAAAGTACCCCCAGTTTTATCACATGTGGTCCATTTACACTCAATACTTACAGTGTTCTTGTAAACGTAAACGAAATCATTCATTGTGATATCATAAAAATTCTTCTACAAACCAGTGCAGCTATTGACACAGCCAAGACCCAAAGAACAATTAAAGAGGCCATGCTGCTTTGTGTAATGCGGGGTTGTCTTTGAACCACAGAATTAGTCTGGGATACTGGCTGCATCGTATTTTGCGATGCAGCACTCTGATTAACCACAGTCCTTTGACGCATGCTACTAGCTGTCCCTCTATCTTCTGCATTCTGATTGGTTGGTGTGACATGAGCACCATTCTGATTGGGTAAAATAGTTGAAGGTTGGTATCCTTGGGCTGGTAAAGGATTGGAATTCAACATGTTGTACATCGGGTAACCTGTGGCATAGTAAGGGTATCCCCCCTGCTGGTATGCTGCATAGTACTGTGAAGCTACACCCATTGAATAGGCCCCCATTTGAGAATTTCCTGTAGGAACAGATTCTGTCGCAGAGGCAGCCTGTGGTTGGCTTGTTACATTAGAAGTTGGTGTTGCTGTGCTTCCTTGAGAGGTTTTCTCCTTTTCACTCTCTCCCTTTGAAAAGAAAAGAGAAAGTTATCATGATATTGTAATGTAAGGAAAGGATGAGACAAATCACATTTTGATGAAATCTTGGGGCCAGCCAGAGGACTTCTCGTGATGTACATACCATTTACTAACCTAGTTTTCTTGGTCTGTTCTGTAAGTTACAAACTGAAATTTTCTGCTCTGATTTATGACCGAGTGGAAAAACAAGGTTCAATAACTAACAGTGCAGACTGAGGAAATGAAGTTCATAAGATATTATCATATCTCTGGATTCCAAAAAAGTGTAAAAGTTTTCAATTCAAACAAACTTTTGAATTCATTGGGCCGTACAGTAAAATACAATCATAGCACACATACAGACTGAAAGATGTTACAAAGAGTATTACTTCTCCACCTGGGAGGAAAATTAGTTAGTCATACAGTACCCCCACAGCAGTGTTTCAGATTAATGTCTGAAGACATGCTGGCCTTAATATGGTCAGCCAGCAAGACTCTGGATTGAAAGGTCATTCATTGTTTTGTTCCTGTCTTAGAAAAGAAACCTCACTCATGTACTTTCACATCCATGAATTGATATGGGTACAGTGAAACAGTCCAGAAAATCTGCTCCCCTCCACCGAGAAAAATCATTTTCACTCCTAAGAGCCAAGTATATCTATTCTCTGCACTGCCAACCATACATTTTTTAAGATTTTAGCTTTGAGAATTTGATGTGAAATCAAACTACCAGAACATCCCTTGGTGTTTATTGTTCCTCCCTCTCCTCACCTGTTTGCTCAAATATGTATTTTAATAATATTCAAGGGTAGAGTGTACCTCATTCTTGGTCACCCCTATGAGTGAGAGGGTATAAATGGGCTCTAGCAGTTTGTCTGGGAAACCAGAAGTAATGACCAGGGATAACCAGCTACCAAAAAAGGCATTCCATCCAGAAGAATACTAAAAGACTGCAGTTGCTCATAACTAAGAAAACCAGGATATGCTCATGCAGTTATACAAGTTATTCTAATTGTATCCAGACTATCCTACTCTTTTTCTATACTGCCTCACCTTAAATGTGATTTGTGCAGCTAATTCTACAGCTTCCCTTTCTGCTTCCTTAGATGATGAATCACCTAAAATGCATAATTCAAATACAACTTGCCTGTCAAGAGCAAACTTAACACCAAAGCCATCATATTATTTGTTAACTTGTAACTTGAACAGCATCTTATTTTCTGTGCTAAATTGTCAATGATCCTTTGGCTTGATGTTCAAAAAACAGGTTAGTAGTAAGAGTAAATAATTTCCATTCTCTGATTTTACAGAATGTTGTGGTCATTTATTTCACAACCAGATCAAGAACTTGTTTCTTAATACATTTGGGAAAATAATCAGCTGACCTAGTTATGGTAAGTATAAATTATCCAAAACAACATACATGTACAGTGGCGGGTAGGACTACAGTGGTTTGAATAGCAAACAAACAATATCCAGTAGTAAAAAGAAAGCACACATACCAGAGGTCTCTAAGAGAGCAGTTTTCATACATCCTTCACAAGTATTACATTTCCAATCAAGTGATCTAAATGATACAATTAAAATCGTTACAACAATCATTCAAAAAGAGTTCCAAAAGGTCAATCTTTACTTTCTCTACTGACATGAATGGTAAATCTCTTTTATGCTAGTAGTCAGTAGCACTCATATTTGTTCAATCAAGTTTTTGGAAGAGTGATAATGAGGTATTATTTTGGTTGGCTTAAATTACTCCCTTACAAAATCACAAAATGGAAGAAACTTCTTGTCAACTACTAGCAGAAGAGAAGTACATGCATATATACACTCCAGAAACCATTTAACTTAACCTCCTTCCTCAAAAAAAATGTTACACAGTTGTGACAATAAGCACATTCTGTCACCAAGATGTTTTCACAATAGAGGAATTCAAATTCAAATTTTCATCTTATTTGGAGAAATTTTCCAAAGGAGAATTCACTCTGTAGGAATACCAAATTTGCTGTTTTTTAATATCATCAATATATTCCTTATAACAAATCTGTATTCAGAATGAACCCTACACTAAGCAGACACAAGGGAAGGAGTCTGCCAAATAGAGGTTTCACTGCACAACACTCTTCTTAATCATAATAGAAAATACCATGAATTTCACTCACTTTTTGGCCAGAACCTTCCTTTCTTGTGGAGTATAGTCTAGTGATCCTATCGCTCCAGCTCCTTGCGTTGGCATAAATCCAATGATTGCCATGAGCACAGTGCGAACTATTGGAAAATCAAAATGTCATGTATAAACCTTTTACACCCTAATATCAGTATGCATATTCTCCATACTGTTCTCTATACATTTCACAAGGTGCTGACAAGAAGAATTTGTTTTACAATCAAGAGCTCCCTTAGATGGTGATCATTTCATTTATCTTCATGACCTTAACACATGATTCAAGGATGATAAGTGTAAGGAAAAATTAGATGCTGGTCATTCTTAGGGATCAGAGGGTTAATGATACTACATTTTACATGTACAATCTATATGTAGAAAGTGAAACTAAATCTTGTCACTTTAGGCATCAGAAACTGAGATATTAAGCTACTACCAGATGGGGAACTAGGCTACTGGGCTGACTTCACTTAAGTTTTCTCCTGTAGTATGCTGACAAGCTTTTAATACTAGTGTTACAGTTGAAAAGTTTTAAACAATAAATACATTCACAGTGTATGTTCAAGATTAACAATGGTACTCACTGCTCCATGATGGTTGCCAAGTTTCAGGATGATGGGCTGACATACTGAGGCAAATTTTCTTTCCCACTTCAAATCGACCATTTGGCTGGTAGGCAAAGAAAGAACATTACATCAACTTTTTGTTTCCCAGCCATGATGGTCAAAAGCTAACCAAAACAGAGGTTTCTAAAAACAGCCCTCTTGAAGTGACCAGAGTTTCAATTTTCAATCTCCAGGATAGAACAAATGCCAACATCACATTTTATAAAATTCTATAAACCTGTGTTGCATTAATTGCAACAATGTAGTCGATGATTTTAATAAGGGGGAAGGGG